TTGTCGCCTCCTTCCTACAACCGCCAGACATCCAGTTCGATCTCCAGTTGTGGGAGAAGTCAAGATTCGATCTTGGCATCAGCTCTTTGAGAAAGAATTGATAGGAAACTGCGCTCACGTGCCATCTTGCTGTTTCTTGCGAATGACAAAATTCTTGGAGAAGAATACTGCTGATTCTGCTCCATCCTGCACTGCGCCATATTCAGTGGGAACAGTCTTTGGATCCTTCCTTGGGTGTGAACACCTTCATTGGGAGAATGCATTGTTTTCTGCAAATTTTGGGCTACCATACGATGGATCTCTCATCCATTCATTACTATGACATTGTCTAGAATGCATCATCATCCAAGCCTTGTCCCAACTATAAGGAGATAGCTACATGCATGTATTGCCATTCCATTTTGATTAGTGTTATATCCATTGTTGAAATGGGTTACTTTTGAGGACCATCTTAACATACCCTTATCCATTTGACACTACACTAAGGTTAAAGTATAAATTAGAAGGTATGATCATAAGAGTTAGGAAAATGTTTTAGTGTTGGGTGCCAATCGGACACAACCCTCCTCTTTTATCCAGGTTTATCATGAAAAGATAAATCGATATCCATCTAGAATGCATCATGCATATAAATGGTTAGGCCCAACATTGAAAATTCAAAATTAATAAAATAGGATAGATCTATAAATTACTTAAGGGAATGACTTCAAGTAGAACACTGCTTTAAGAAACATTGAAGTTTTTGACCTTCTCAATGGTGCTCCACCATTAGAGTGTCCAACCTTATGATACATTAAGAATGGGTTTGATGAGGAACGGGATAGTAGTAGAAAAACATCAATGCATTGAATAGATCTCCAACATCATTTTAATGGTGACCGTTCAAGGAGTGGAAACTAGACTTAGCAAGGAAAGTCAACCTAGTGAGAATTCAATGGGTAAGTAAACAATGGGGGTACATGGCATGAAGAAAAAGAAAGGTGGCCATCATGCACTAAACAAATTAAAGTGCTACATGACCAACATATTCGACAAGTAGTTAATTAGATGCTATCAACCCCTGGCGCATGTTTTTAAGGGAGATCTAATAGATGTGGTGTAAGCTTTTTGCGTTCTTATTCTAACCGTTGCTGCTATATCATAGATTCATAGTATTTACCACAGAAGTTGAATCAATAAAAATGTTAGGAGAAGATCTGACCAATGGTTACAAAAAGAATGGAAGTATGGAGGTTGAAGTTTTGATATCTATAGATACAATAAGGGAATAAGGGAATAGAAAATTTAAGGGTCTGTTTTCCCTGGAATAGGTGCTAGGAATTGAAATCTCCCCCGTATGGGGGAATGGCCATTTTAGGCAATGGGGTTCTGATTCCCATTCTAGAGTTTGTCAAAAAGTAAACAACTTATGACAAAAAGCCCCCCAAACCCTAAATATTAATAAAAAATAAAGTATTATTAAATTAATAATAAATATATTAATTATAAAATATAATAAGAATAAAATATTACTATAATAATAATATATTAATAATTAAATAATAATAAGATATTAGTTAAATATCAATGAAATAATAGCACTTTAATATAATAATGTTAAAGTAATAAAAAATACTATCATATTAATTAATAATAATAAATTAATTTTAAAATAATGGAATACTAATAAACTAATAAGAAAGTAATGATAAAATATAATAAAATATAGTAATAACAATATTATTAAAGAAATAATAAAATAATAGTATAATAATATGATATTCATAAATCCATGATAAATACTAAAATATTAAATAAAATAACAATAACAAAGTAATAACACAAAGCAAAATATTATTTATGAAATAATAATAATAATTAAAGTACAAATAAAATATTAATATAATATAGTTAAAGTAATAATTAAGTACTAACATATTAATTATTAAATAATAATAAATTAATTTTAAAATATTAACAAAAATAATATAATATTGATAAACTAATAAGAAAATAATAACAACACCTAATAAAATAGTAAATTATTAATAAAATATAATTAAAAATCGTATTAAAATAATAAAATATTGATAAATTAATGATAAATATTAAGATATTAATTACTAAATAATAATAAAATAATAAATAGATTAATAAAAAATTGAAAATTTTCAATTGATTCCGCTTCCAACTCTAAATGAACCAAACATATTAGGAATATGTGATTCTGATTCCGATTTCCCACTAAAAATGAACACAATTTTCAATCAAAATTCAATTCTGATTTCCAAGTAGACAAACAAGTGTTAGAAATAGGTGATTTCAATTTTGATTCCTGGGGATTCTATTTTTTATTCCAATTCTAATCCTGTTCATGAACAAAATGGACCCTAAATTCTTTTATCAAGATAATCCAATGAAAAGAGATTTCTAAACTCTTGATGAAAACCATGCCAGTCCAGATTTCCTACAAATTTCCTCTACTAACCCATTAAAATTATTCCACCTGTCACTAAGTCCTATCTAGTGTAGCGATTGACTAATGCCTTAATTAATTCCTCTGTTAGATACTATTTTAAAGAAATACCTATTTTTATGCATTAATTAAATATTTCTAAAAATAAAAATATAATAATTTTGGGTGGTCTATAACTAGGGGTGCTCACAGTTCGAGCAACCGAACCATGGGACTTTTTTGTGAACTAAATCGGTAGTACCGGTTTTTGGAAAATCGGTTACCAAAACCGAACCGAAACTAGTCAGTTAACCGGTTGACCGGTTTGGTTAACTGATGGTTCGATTCATCGGTTTTTCGGTTTTTTTGACTTTATAATATTTATTATAAAAATATATAAATATATAATAAAAATTATAAATATATATAAAATATTATAAATATATATAATATTATAAATATATATTTTTATATAATGTGTATTTATTAATTTATAATATAATATATATATATATATAATATACATAAATATATAAAAAATATATAGAAAAACATGTATACCAGTTGGTTCGGTTAACTGCCAGTTTTTAAAATTGGTTAACCGAAACCAAACCGGTACCTTCAATTTTTTAAAATCACCGAACCGACCGGTTCGGTTAACCGATTTTTTGGTTCAGTTTCGGTTGGTTTTTTGGTCAGTTCGGTTTTTCAGTTTTTTTTGCTTACCCCTATTTGTAACTCTTTTTCCATGCATGAATTTGCTTTACTAGGCTTAGAAAAGAAATAAAAATAAAAATATTTATTTTAATTATATGCCAATTTCCCATTCTCTCTTTAATTATATGCAAATTAATTCTCTTAACCTAGTAAAGCAAATTCATGCATCGGAAAAGAGTTGCAGACCATCGAAAATTATTATATTTTTATTTTTAAAAATATTTAATTAATGCATAAAAAAAGGTATTTCTTTAAAATAGTATCTAATGGAGGGAATAATTAAGGCTTTGGTCAATCGTTACACTAGATAGGACTTAGTGACAGCTGGAATAATTTTAATGGGTTAGTAGAGGGAAGTTTGTAGGAAATCCGGACACAAACCATGCATGGCATGAGTTGGTTGGTGGAACATTAGGAGAGCTGGAAAATGAAATATTGGACGAATTAAGTTCCCTAGCTAGGTGCCTAGGTTAAATGAGGAACATGGAACTGCATTTGTTGAAATACCAATAAAGCAATAGATTTGGAGGTGGTAAAAAAGATTATCCCACATTAAGCCCTCCACCCGAATATGTTTACATAGTTCATTGTCGATTATGCAACGTCATCTATAAAATATGTAATAAAAAAGAGTGCACCCATTTTTTTTTAATAAGCTCGTAGCTCCAACTCATAAAAGTCTCAAGTAAAAGGAGACACCAAATGACATTATATTAGCAAAAAAAAGATCATCCATCAATATGTCCAAAGCATATGAGAATATGAGGTCGAAATTTTTAATATAAACAATAAAATAAATGGCATTTTTAGAAAAGTGGTGCAATCTCATCAACCAAAGCATTTTTACCTTGTTATAATCAATAAAAATGAATGGAGATACAGATACAAATGATTTTTCAAATTAATAAAAAGGAGTATTGTCGAGGTGATCCATCTTCATATCACTTTATACTATGCATGCAAGTTTTGACAGAAATACAAGTCAAAAAAGCAGTAGTTTTGGAAGATGAGCTACTAGAATAATGCGTTTTCCTTTTCACATGGACTGCATGTTAATTTGCGAAGTACATCCCTACCCACATAGAAAGAAATATTGGGAAAAGATAAACTTCCAAAAATCAAACATACTTTTTAGCAAAAACCATACAATGCAAACATCAAAAAGATGATGGGTATGAAGTATGTCTTAGGATAACAAACATTTAGGAGCAAGATTAAAGATCGGGATGAGAAGGACAAAAAGTTTTCAGCAATGCTATAAAGAGTGCAAAAACATATTGTGACATGGAGGGCAAAACTTTTATATCAATAGATCAAACCAAATTAGTTAAGGCAATAGCTCAAGCTAACCATTTCATATACAATGGAAGTGACAACTAAAACGGATAGAAAAGAAACAAAATCGACCCATACGATCATTTAGAGAAGAAAAAAAAAATATATCCATGCCAAAGTTAGGAGGCTTGGGGTTCAAACAATGCCATGAAATGAATAAGATAGTTTCTTGGTGAGGAATATCAAAGCCTAATACTACCTCAGGAGTACGGTCAAAGATGGACAATAAATAGAAGCCTTCCAAGAACTGTTGGTCCCTACAATACCAGGTAATATTCCAATTAGAAAGCAAACACTAAGCTCTAATACATAAATCCACAAAGTATACGAGTTTTTGAATCAAGATGGAAATTGGAATGAACACTTTCAGACACTTTAAAGACAATAGCTTGAACACTTTGCAAATAATACCCGTCATAGAAACAAGGATAGTTTACTATGGGTTAGATGGGGAAATGTACATCAAATTAGCATATAGAGCATTGAAACATCTAATGCTTAATTCTTTAAACTCTAAAATCAAATGGCTTGGGCCATGGAAATCTCACTGGTCCCTTGTAGAGTTCAAATATTTATGTGAAAGGCCTCTTGAATATGAATCAATTACAGGAGGAATAACTAGAACCTGAGAAACAGAAGTTGACGAGTACCAAAACAACAAAAAAATAAGGCGGATGTGTGCATACACAATTCAATTGTCGTCATAAAAATAAGACTTATTCCAACTTCCTTTCCAATGGGAAAAGCCTTGCACAAGGTCAGTGTATCTAGAACAGGTCTTATTTCTAACCATGTTATTTATATTGGATTTATTGAGAATTTACATGACAAAATGCTTGCTAACCAAGCAGCTCCTTAGGTTATAGCTTTCGTTGGGTCTGATGGTGAACATTTTGAGATGTAAAACCCATCATATTGTATATACACTTGACTATATATGGGTTCGGTTACAAAATAACAGGCCGTCGAGAGGAGGCCTTCGAGATGTTCTTTGCTGCTATCACCTTGCTGACTAATAACTTCCACTTCGCCTCGTCCTTTTTGCTCTGGTGCTGCATCTTTTCTTTGAAATGCCTGAAAGCAGAGAGCATTAACAGTTATAAAATCACCATTGGCACTCCCAGCATTACCCAAAGAAAAGGCATATCCTGTACTTCTCATGACACTATCATCAAAACCCGAAACTACACGTAGCACCCCACTCATTAAGTGTAAAATGAAATGCTTCTTACTAACGAAGAGGCCAGGCATATGCTGCATAACGGTCAGAATCTATGTCCATAAAAATACTGAAATTTTTGTCCAGCCAAGTATATATTGTAATATGTGATATGTCCAGCCAGGTATATATTCAACATATGTTGAATAATGGACATTTTCACATAACCAATTCAATCATATCTATGTAGTGAAGGGAATGGCTATAGTGCAAGGCATTTTGTAAAATAAAATCTAGTTAAATCTCCCTAAATGCGAAAGAGAAACAATCTGTCATGAAACGAGCCAGACACAAGTAGGCTAGTTACAAAGTTACAACCTTTGAAATGTTCTTATGAAAATGTAAAATACTATTTATGTACGCATCTGTCAAATAAATTATGATATAGGTTGGACAGAAAATGCAGCCAAAGGATAGCAAAATAATCTGTGGTCAATGTCAGCAAGGGACTTTATACAAATTTGAAATAGAAGCAACTGTTATAATAGCCATTAAACTGTAGCAATGGTCATTGTAACAGTTACAGAAGTTCACAATAGTCATGATGCAACCAACATCATCCTTTAACTTTTGTTCCTTTCTGAATTTGATTACCTTTTCTTTTGTGAACTTGATCTTTTCTTTTCATGTTCTCCACATTTAAAATGTTGAATGTCCATCGGAATTAGCTCACTTACCTACAGAGAGGAACCTTGCAAAAATCCGGTTCATTGCACATACGAGAATGCAGTTCAAGAAGCTGCCACATGCGCTTGCAGTGAACACATCCACCGGGCACACGTGTCTTGCAACTAGAGAAGTGTCGCACCAATGTCTCAAGACCCTTGCAAGCTGGGAAGCCACAGGCTACCTGGCTTCCTTTCAGGACTTTGTCACGTGGCCCAATAGTCCTACATCCATCTTTGCATATGTGCAGAAGTGCTTCCATGGCTTCATGCAGTTGCAGGTACATCCTCTTCTCTTCCATCTTCTTCATCTTCTCATGTTTATTCTGCACCAAAATGTGTGAAAATAAGAGCAAACAAAACCTAGCAGAAAACAATGCAGATGTGATCATGATGTGCAATGAAAGAAAAACTGATTGAGACTGAATTTACTTTGATGTCAGTATTCAGTAAGTTGTTTCTGCAAATCCAAATTAAACACATTAGATCAAGAGTAAGAGGCCACTGAAGAATATTAGGACATCAAAGTTCCTAAGTTGGGTTCCATGGAGCACAAATGGAAGAAATGCATGTTGACTAGGAATTCCCATTTGGTCATCTCAACCAAGAAAATCAGTTGCCCTCCTATGCACTAAGAAGAGAACTTCCTAATGTTAATATGGAATGTTTAATTACTTAAAATGACTTGACTTTGTTTGAGTGGAATAGGTCTTTGAAAATTGATAATAGAAGCTGCAGAAGTTGCTCTATGGACAAAGAATGACATTTGACTTACAGAATCAGCTTCAACAACTAATTCAAGAATCTCTTGCTCAAGTGCAGGATCAGCTTTCCTCATCACTTTCCATCCTTCAGTTGCAGAAACAGTCTTGAAGTCCTTTAGAATGAGACGGACACAAATGAGGGAAAGGCGTGGTGCATCACACTGCCTTGCCAACTGAAGCACATCAGTTGCATTCTCTATGGTAAGCCATGCCTGCTCTAATAGGTTTGTGCATATCCTTTTTAGTGATGGAACCAAGAAGGAGTGAGACAAAACCAGCAGGTGGAGAACAAACTTCTTCATCTCTTCCTGCTCATAGCTGCAGAGGAAATCAAGTAAAATAAAACTTATGTTCCTTGAATCAAGAATATATTGGACAAAGAGAAAAACATCAAATCAAAAGGACATTGAGTCAATCCCTTGAAGAATGACTGATGGTGCCATTTTTCAAACTCTCTTCATATAAAACAGGTCGCATACATTTAGAGTTGCAAATGGATCAAATTGAATTCAGATAGTGGTATATCTAAAGTCAATTCGACAGAAAACATTTGATATCCAATCCAATTCAACATCCGATGGATATGCAAAACTGAAATTTGAATTTGATTTGATAGATTCTCAGATACTTGGTAAATCTGATTCAAATCAATTCACCAAATCAGACAGAGAAAAGCCCCAAAACAAGGTTTAACAAAATAATTTATAGTAATAAACTCTAATCCCTATCAGTTTATACAAAAATCAAGAATCAACAAAAGATAAATTTATGGTAAAGAAAAAACTTACCAATTTCTATTATTTTGCATTACTCTCACGTCAGACCACAAGTATGGAAGAGTATTTTTTTTTTGAGAAAAAGAGTAACTTTATATAAATAAGGAGAGAGAAAAAAGAGTACATGAGATGATGTACAAAAGGCTAGTCTCACACAGGTTACAAAAGCATTATGCTATTGCTATAAAAGCTTTCCCTGTGAGCACCTGACTGGCTAAATTATCTGCTACAGAGTTTAAATTTCTGGGAATCCAGATTAAAGATGCATTCAAGTGATGTAACAGATCTCTAGCCTCGTCAAGGTAGTGAGCCAGTCTCCAAGGTCCTCCCTCCATTTCCCCAGCCACTTTATTGTGTTGCTAAAATCACCTTTGAACACCAGGTTGGTCAGGCCTAGTATTCTTGTGATACGGAGGCCATTTAGCACTGCTATGACTTCAGCCATTGTAGAGTCTGCAGTCCCTAATGGTCCACTAAAGAACCACAGAGGACTACCATCCCTCCTCATAAGCACACCCCCACAACCAGCTGGACCCGGGTTCCCTAGAGTACTTCCATCAAAGCACAAGGTCACCTCCTCCTGTTCCCTTGACTGAGAAAGATTAGAGGCTCTTTTAGCAATAGGTGAAGAGAACAGCAGCTCCACCAGGTTCTGCTGAAGCATGTTTAGAGAGAAGTCTTTGTACATCTCTGAATTTGGCACCCACAAATTGCAAAGGTGGGAGATATGAGAAGTTAGGTCTTCCAAAGTACATGCCTCATTTTTAACAAGTATGGAAGAGTATTTAGTATCCTTACCTATGTACATGCCTCTCCCAATTGGTAGCAAAGTGAAGAAAATGAATGACCGCCAAGATGTTCTCTCCTTGGTGAAAATAAAGAAGAAATAAAAGAAACCCTAACCCTTCTATAACCACACCCATATGAATGCACCTCTCTAAACTTAACTAATGTGGCTGCAAACAGTGAATGAGCAACATTAATGGGTGTTTAATAAAGCAGCCTTTTGGGCTTAGCATTTTGGTGATGCATGCAGCCCCTGGGAGATTAGACAGGAGTACAATTTGTTGAAGAGGAATTCAAGTAGACAGAGTGAAGATCAGGATATAAAATCCTAACCCTTTGGTAAGAGTGAAGAAGATAGAAAATCAAAAACACTTTATGGAAAGGAGAGTTGTCATTTTGTCTTTTATATGCATTATAAAATTATATAAAATGAATAATATATTTGATGTAATGGATCGAACCGGTGTCTATCCGAATTCGATCCAATAAGGAAATGAATTGTAAATGATGATTCGAATTCAATTTGTTTAAGACTATTGGATATTCAAATTTGTTTTAAACGAATTGGATTCAAATTGGATTGGGTTAAAATCCAATTAATTTGCAGCCCTACATACATTATTCACTAGGTTATAAGTTGATTGCATTCAGCTATGTTGGACCAGAAAATAAGCAATTTGATCTCTAAGTCAGATGCTTTAAATGAAAGATGAGTAGGATGATCCATGAGCCATTTATTCTATCTTTTACTTACCACTCCCTCACAAGAAATAGCTTAAACTTTGAAGAGCTAATATCAATGTAAATAAGGAAGTTAGGCAGATATGCTTGTATTAGTAAATACTTGAAAGGGAATAAGGATTTTTATTTGCTTCAGAAAAACAGGTTGCATATAAAAGTTTGAAATGAATAAAGAAAAATCTGCTTAAAGAGGTGTAGTTGTTTAGGGCTCCCACATTATTTGATGGATTAGGAAAGAGTTCTATATATGGAATATAGGTCCTTCCTCTCACTGGCATGTTTTTTGTAAGGAGCTACAATTCAAACTCTGCACAATGAAGAGGACAGATAGAAAAATGAGAGAAAAACCTAGGTCAAAGATCATGCTTTCAACTCCGGATAACATCAAATAAATAAAATGTACATATTTAATTTTATCCATTTCTTGCTCATCACTGTTATTGGGCAGTCTCAGGTTCTATGCCAGTTACACATGGCAGCAACTTAATGAAGGTACTATGCTAGAATATAGTTAATCATTATTCCTACACTGCTAATACACATGGGATAATGTCAAGTCGCAAATACAGGTATATACTTGAAGCTGCACTGTATTTAGGTGCATATGTGAAGTCCAAGTTAAGCTATAGAATGTATGTAAAGGACCTTACAATCATTGTTTGAAATTAACCTTATAATGTAGATGCAGCCAACAAGAAGCTCATCAATTTGGACTGTTCAATTAGACGTATACATCCTAGAGGGGCACAACCCAAAAGTATGGAGTGACCTCAGGATCTAATAGCATGTTTTATGAACATTTGGATTCCAAGTACAATTGTATCATGGAAGATCAAGAATCAATTCTATTTTCATTCTCCCCCTGTATCCCATAGTTTAACTGGTCTCTATGGACGAATTACTTGGGATTACAGGGGTAAAATTATTGTGAGGGACCTAAGGTTCCTATTTAGCATTAACGCCAATGGCATATACGTTTATGTTAAGGATATGGAGTAATGATATACCAGGAGGAGTAAAGAAAGCGGACAAAGGCATAAACAGCTTCAGAGGGTAACCCTGGGATCATGATATATCTAACACCATTCCTAACTCTCGCTTGCTGCAAAAGGTTTCTCAGCACTGGTGATGCCATACCCTGTCGAAAAAACAAGAGGGAAATAAATCATAAATAAAAATCCTATATCCATATATTCCACTATTTGAGGTATACTCTTGTTTATGTTTGATTAATGCTCAGAATATTATAAACATATGGCAAGGAGCAATCTCCACAGCCCTAACTGCAGGTGCAATGAAATCCCAGGCACATGACAAATCAGCCAATAATAGTTTATACAATCTAAATATTTCATTGTTGACTGGGCTGATCCCAAGTCAGAAGACAAAAATCCAAAAAATAATATAGATTTAAGATCATGATTGATGATAATGTATTTTTTCTTTTTCCCTACATGTGGAGATATGTAATGACTTCTGATTCAGGTCTTAAGATACATCACAACTCCAAAGAAACAGAGATCAGTTAATTGCACAAGCAATCTTTCATAATTCCCAGTATATCTTTACATGTATAATCCATGATAATACCAGAGAAACAATCATTCATGAACGAAATTGGGTAAAGGCAAATTTCCAACTTCTGAGAGACTAATTATACTCAGTTTACTCACCAGAACACTTGAATGTGCAGGAATGATGGCTTTTCCCTCGGTCAAAATATGGACATCTGCTCCATATGCTTCCTTAAAAAGCTTATCCCACATATCTTTAATTTCCTTGGAAACATAACTACAGTCTATGACCCTCTTTGGGAAGTTGACTTTGCCAAAATTTTTACCAGGGAGTGGAGGTGGCTTTGGTATGGTATTCTTTTGGCATAATGATGAAGTGGAAACTTCCAGCACAGGTAAAAAGTCAGCTGGGTTTCCTTCCTCTATCTGTAGATTGAAGGAGTCCTGGAAGGATTCGCCAGTTGAGGGGGCCCAGGAAGAATCAAGTTCTGTCTGTGCCATCACAATTGCTATTCAAGACAAACTGAAGTCTTTTCCTGAAATCAGAAAGAAAGTAGAAAAGAAAAAAATTAGCCATGCAGTCTCCGTAAAATGCAGGATATTTTCGAACCCATCAAATTGTTAAAAAAGAGGAAACTCAGGAATGAACAGAATTTAAAGCAGAGAGAGAGGCATAAAACAAAGCCTATATTTTCAAGCAGGAAGAGCACCGAAAGAAGAACATTCTCGTGATGCCTTGCCCTCAATTTACAGTTTTAAAGCTTAGTTTGGGGTATAAACTCTCTGATTCCTTAATCTACAACAGAAAAGAAACTTCTTAAAAAAAAGCATAAACACAGAGTGTCATTGTACGAAGAACAACTGCATAATGGATAGGAAGAATTTGAACAATCAAACCTTTGGGAATTTAGACAAGGAAGATACCGATTTTTACAAGGAATTACTCCAAAAATTTCACCTTTACTGCAAGATACCTAACTTTACAAGGAATTAGCTAGAATAAGCAAACTTTGCAAAAGAATAAACGAGAGATAACATGAAGTAAGATTAAATTATTAAATCTAAAGATCCTTCAAAAATTATTAAACCTAAAGAATAAACTACTAAAGAACCACCAAACATTTCAAAGGAAACTTTCACAATAAAGAAAGATTAAAAACTAAGGAAATCAAAACCTCCAGGATTTAGGAAGACGAGATCCTATGTTTATTCTTTAAATATTCCAACTTTTGGAAATGATCCTTCAACCGTTCATGTGTCATACGTATAATAACCCATGCATTAAAGTCAGTAAGCACAGTTGCAAACAGAACAGAAGTACCGACTTCATTAGTTTAATGCTAAAATCTGTCTTTAAATCAAAGAGAGACATTGAGATATAAAAATCCTCTGAAAACAATGAACCGTCCAAATAATATAAAATAGAACAAGTTGAAGAAAGAGAATCCTCCACCACATATTTAAATCGAAAATGCGAAAAAAAAAGAAACAAAAATATTAGAGTTTCAGTCAAACCACCATACCTTGCACCAAAACCCGCAAATCCTTCAAGAAAAATAATAAACAAGACTTTCTCAATCTTCGACCGGAATCTCAAAGTAGAACGTCAAGAACTACTTTGAAGCTACAAAATCTGAAGAAGAAAAAACGAAAAAAAAAAAAAAGTAAAATCAGTGGAAAAGTCGAGCTCACTTAGATCATATCGACCTTCTTCGATCGTTCTCAAATCACTATCAATCCGTCACCTTCTCTTAGTAGAAATGTCTCGATGGGACTGCGAAACAGAGCAGAGCAGATTACAAAACTTAATGGAATATGCAAAGAATCTTTCCGCCTGCGCAAAGGGATTAAGAGAACTTTCGAGAAAGATTTCATAATAAAGCGATGAACACTTCGCAGAGGGGAAAGACGGGCAGGTGTCGGACGTGTGAAGGACAGGTGGAAATACGGTCACGAACCCACTATTTATTGGGGGACGACGAAGAGAGAGAGAGAGAGAAATGTCTAAGGATGTAATCAAATGAGATTTTGACGGCTAATTTTGTTAGTTTTCTCGAGATTTCAGTTTCATTTTCTCGAGGGTGATAAAGGTGCTGAGGTTGCAGAGTGCGGCAATAAGAGACGTTCAGAGTTCAGACAACTGCCGGGTCGTGTAGATTCTTCGACATTTGGCATTCTATCCAATAGTGGGCGGCCACGGCCACGTGTACTTAAAAATGCTTGTAGAGCAAAAAGAGAATCCGGATTAACTGAGCGCTTTATTTGTGTAGCACAGTAGCAGGTTGCGGGAATAATAACGAAGCGGGTTCGGGTCGACGACAATGGAGCGGATTCGGGGCCGGGCAACCTCTCTGTCCCCACCACGTAAACTAAATCTCCTACCGTATCTCGGCTCCATCGAAGGTGGTGGGGCAGGTTCGGGTTAGGGCAACAATCCCCGAATTTTTCTCGCATCAAAATAATAACTTAAACATATAACAAATTAATTAGAGATATTTTAGAAATGAGATTATGGAATGAGGGAATTTTAGAAATGAGATTATGGGAATTTGAAGTATTTTAAAAATGTGATTATGGAATTTTAAAGTTTTGGGATTTAAAGAAAAATTTAATGATAAGAAGTTAATAATAAGGGTTGATGTAACCGTTTTTGGTCACGTACCAATTTTTTGAGATCTATAAATTTTTTTTGGTTAAGTACCTCGTTATTTGACCCGGTGGTAACGTGCCTTGGTGATGAGCTACTTGGTGGCGAACTCCCTGGTGGAGRACTRCCTRGTGGCGAGCTCCCTGGTGGAGAGCTACTTGGTGACGAACTGCTTGGTGGCGAACTCCCTGGTGGAGAACTGCC